CACCAAGCACCCCACTTCCCATTTTGTTTCCTATGAAAACAATTTACCTTCCTTTCGGGCATTCCTCTCTTCCATTGATAGTGTTCCTATTCCTAAGAATGTGGCATAAGCTCTCACGGTGCTTAAATGTACAGATGCAAAGGGAGAAATTAATGCATTACATAAAAATGGTATGTGGGAATTGGTGTATCTTCCCGAGGGAAAAGAACCAGCTGGACGTAAATGGGTATTTACAGTGAAACATAGGGTTAATGGCACAATGGAAAGGTATAGAGCTCGTCTAGTGGCAAAAGGTTCACTCAAGTTTACGGGGTGGATTATGCAGAAACTTTTGCACTAGTTGCTAAGATGAACTCCATTAGGGTTCTCTTCTCTTTAGCTGCTAACTTTGATTGGGACCTTCACCAATTGGACATCAAGAATGCATTTCTAAATGATGATCTAGAAGAAGTGTACATGGTACAACTCCTTGTGGTTTCTAGGCTCAAGGTAATGAACAAAAGGTATGCAAGTTAAAAAATTCACTATATGGCCTGAAACAATCACCAAGAGCTTGGTTCAGCGGATTCCAGGTAGTTGTACAACAAAAGGGCTACAAGCAATGTCAATCTGATCATATATTGTTTGTTAAAAGAGGGGAAGGGAAAATTGCAGCCCTAATAGTGTATTTTGATGATATAGTTACCACTGGTGTTTGGAAAGATGAAATTCAAAGATTGAAGGGATTTCTTGCTACTCAGTTTGAGTGAAAGATCTAGGTCCTTTGAGATACATCCTTGGAATTGAAGTTGCCCGCTCACAAAATGGTATCTTCATTTCTCAGAAAAAGTATGCCTTAGATCTGTTACAGGATACAAGAAGATTGGGAGTGAAACCCGTTGATTCTCCTATTGATCCTAATCACAAATTAAGTGATTGTTCAGGTGAATTCATCAAAGATGTGAAGCAATGTCTCATGGAGTGGCTGAAATAATGTTGCTAAAAAATCTATTGAGTGAGCTAGGATTTGCAATTGATGGACCTATGACTTTATATTGTGACAACAAGGCAGCCATAAACATTGCTGCTAACCCAGTACTGCATGATAGAACCAAGCACATTGAGGTAGACAAACATTTTATCAGAGAAAAGGTTGTCAAAGGGGAAGTGTGCACCCCCTATGTCAGATCCAAAGATCAACTTGCGGACAGGCACAATGATCTATGTAACAAGTTGGTCATGATTGTAATGTATGTCCCAACTTGAGGGGGAGTGTTAAAAGGTTGTTTTCTTTGTTTTTTTATTTGTGTTAGTGTTGCAGGGGTACTATTGTAATTCCCCTCTCTTTATGTTATGTTTTGGTCGCCCTAATATAAATACCAAAAAGCTGGTGCCGCCAACAACACTTCTTGCTCTCAGATCTCTCTCTTCTCCTCTCTCTTTCTCTGTTCTCTCTTCTCTCTTCTCTTCAGTTCAGCTTCTGGACAAGACCCCCCATTAGTAAGGGATGGAGTAACTTAAAATAAGGAAGTCCAAGGACATTAACACTTAATAACAGAAGTATAGCCCAACAAGAAATAGGAAGAGATAACACAAATGGGCCGAGGCCCACACTGTCAAGTGCCAGAACACTCCCCCTCAAACTGAGTATAAATGTCCGTCATGCCTAGTTTGCACACCAAGTCTCCACATTTGGCTTTAGCAAGTCCCTTAGTGAACACATCAGCAACTTGTCTAGTAAACGGAATGTAATAAATACATAGATTTCTAGATACAATCCTTTTTCTCACAAAGTGTCTATCAATCTCAATGTGTTTGGCCCTATCATGTTGTATAGGATTATTAGCAATATTTTTTGCAGCTTGGTTGACACACTAGAGCTTCAAGGCTCCTGACATTGTGATTCCAAGTTCCTTTAGGAGTATCCTAAGCCAAAGAAGTTCAACCACTCCATGTGCCATTGCTTGGTATTCAGCTTCAGCACTTGCCCGAGCCACTACAGTTTGTTTCTTGCTTCTCCAGGTTACAAGATTTCCACCCACAAATGTGCAATATCCGGTTGTAGATCTCCTACCTCCAGCTGATCCAGCCCAATCAGCATTAGTATAGGCTTCAACATTAAGTTTATCAAGCTTCTTAAATAACAACCCTCTTTTAGGACATGTCTTCAAGTACCTTAGTATTCTCTTCACTGCCTTCATGTATGAAACTTGAAGAGCATGCATAAATTGACTAACAACATGGACAACATAAGCAATATCAAGTCTAGTGAGAGATAGGTACAGAAATTTACCCACAAGTTGTTGACGTCTTTCTTTGTCTAGGTCCTCATCCATTTCCTACAATTCAAGGTTTTGTTCAATAAGAGTCATAATAGGTCTGCTACCTAATTTTCCTATCTTCTTAAGGAGGTCCAACGCATACTTCCTTTGACAAATATAAATTCCTTCCTTAGACCTAGCCACCTCTATTCTCAAGAAGTACCTTAGAGGTCCCAAGTCCTTTATATCAAATTCAGAGGCCAAAAGATTCTTAAGTCTTCTAATCTCTACTAGATCATTTCCTGTCACCACCATGTCATCCATATAAACAATAAATGTTATCAATTTCTCCCCATTTCTTCTATAGAATAGTGTGTGATCAACACTGCTTTAATAGTATCCCACAATCTTCATTGCCTTGCACAATCTTTCAAACCATGACCTAGGAGACTACTTAAATCCATCTAGGGTTCTCCCAAAATTTGAGATCTAGTGTTTTCATATGAATGGTCCAAACCAGCTAGATACTTGAGTATTCTTCCTTCTTCAATTTGCTTGTCATGCCTTTCTTTTTCATTGCTGCTATCCCACTCAAGGACTAATGGTGATTAAGCTCTTCCCATAAGCCTTCTAATGTAGCAAAATAAACTGCTTCAGTCATGTCCCCTTGAGTTAAACTAAAGATGTCTTGATTCAACCTGTAAATCCTTGCTATATTTTTCTTTTGACCGTAAGTGTTGTACAGTTTCTCCCAAATCTTGTGGGCTGTTGTATAATGCTGAACAATCCTCACAATTTTGTGAGTCATAGAAGCCACCAACCATGACACCACAGTTGCATTTTTCCTACACCAAGTCCTATAACTTGGTTCATCTTCTTGGACTCCTTAATTTTCCCATTGATATAGCCTTGTAGTCCATGACTCACTATGGACCATCTTGCCAAAATGGCCCATTCCCTATAGTTGTATTCATTTAGCTTCACATTAGTAATCTATACCATAGGATTTCCAAGGTGAATAACATTGTCAACAGTCCTAGAACCTCTAGAGGATACCTCACTAGTGTTGTAATACACTATGAACTCACTTAAAGTAATACCTTGTAGCAAATAGTCTATTACTACTTGTTAGTAGTCGACTATTAGACGAAGAGATTTCTTAGTAGTTGACTACTATCTCAGCAGAACTTAGAACAACAACAAGAGAAAAGAACTAACAGCACTCCCCTTTACTCAAGCTTCCCAAACAAGCTTGGCTGGACTGTGAACTAAACTCCTAGACTGATACTACCTAGAAGTCCAGTGGCTAGACCTGTTAAATAGGTCTTTCTAGTAGTCCATACGACTAGTTTCTTGCCTTACCTGGGCATACCAGCAACTATTCTGGGTCTCCTTCGAGTTTTTCCAAAGACAAACCTCAAAAAGCCTTCAGCCAACCATGACCAGCAGAAAAACTCCTTGTTAATCCAACAATAAAAGAGAAATTTAAGATGAAACATTTGGTGAAGAAGATTGGCGAGCAGAATGAGATTGACTTAATGCTCTGATACAATGTTTGTATTCTGATTCAAGAAGAAGAAAAAGAAGAAATTTTGAATAGGGTGGCTTAACTCTACCAGCCCATCAAACTGATATTTATATTAGGGCAACATTAAGAAGCATAAGATTACAACTTCATCCCCCATTAGTAAGGGATGGAGTAACTTAAAATAAGGAAGTCCGTGCCCATTAACACTTAATAACAGAAGTATAGCCCAACAAGAAATAGAAAGACATAAAACAAATGGGCCGAGGCCCACATTGTCAAATCCCACAACAAATACCAATAAAAAGGCCATTAACCCAATGTCGATCCTGGCAATCTAGGTCTTGAGAGGGATGGATTGGGTATGGTCCTAACCTCCAACATTTTGTACAAAGTGGATATCCTTATACACAGACCCATATTCTCATACTTAGTCCAAGCTACATTTGGTATCAAAGCCTATCACCACGTCTCAAGTTTGAATCACGGAGAGGGCTACCTGGAGTAGAGTGAAAGCTATCATCGAAAGGGCTACCAGTAGAGTGAAAGCCGACATGGAAAGGGCTACCTAGAGTAGAGTGAAAGCTGCCAAAGGGAAAAGACTACCTACCACCAAAGTGTGAGCTGTCGTGGAAAGGTTACCTATCACCAAAGTGAGAGCCACCATGAAGAGGGCTACCTACCACTAGAGTGAGAGCTGCCTAGAGTGAAGCCGCCGAGATGTCAGCTACAGAAGCGTGGTGGTATGTTACAGTCCTAAATGGTTAAAGTGATTGGCTTGACGCATTCCATCAGTCTCAAGGCTTTTGGCATATTGGTCAAGCACACAACACAATACCAAATAAGTAGTCAAATTGTAGTGAAATGTTTTGCCAAAAAGACAACTAGAAATGGTAAACCCATTAAAATTTGCATCCATGTCCTAATAAAATGAACATAGAATATTTGTAAGTTGAAAGCTTTCTATTAATCCAAAACAAATAAAAGATCGCATGGTCTGTAACACAATGGGGATAAAATGCTTTCTATTTCAAATCTAAAACACTATCACAAGGTTGATACTTTAGTTAATGGTCCTTAATGTCACAGGAAATGAAGTAATCTTCACCTCATCAGGACTACCGTTAAATTATCATTAAATTAAGCAAAGCAAAAATTGAAACCAATCACTTAATAATTGTCAACATCTTAAATAATATCTAAATAACTGCAAGCAGCATCCAATAGATACTTGCCTGGACCAAATGTTACACAAGTGCTTGAAAAGAACTCTTTACGTTCCCGGAGAATATATGTCAAGAGTGCAGCAGTTCCACCACCCAATGAATGCCCAACAATCTAAAAAGTAGAGTAAACAAATAAGATAACATTAATCACCATGTCCATCCATTAAGACAGTAGACTACCTTAGTACCTCTGAAATGGTATATGTTGTTAGAATTAGTTTTTTTTTTTTATTTTATTTCTGCTGTTAGGGTGCTGTTAGCATGTTCTTTTCTTTGTTTAAGTTCTTATTATTAGGGTGGACCCCCAGGGGCATGCTTGTAATTCCCTTTTCTTTTATTTTACATCATGTTAATACAAATAGGAAGCTGGGAGCCGCCAGTTTCAGTTTTTACTCTCAAACACTTTTTCCTCTTCTCTTCTCCTTGTATCTCTCTTCTCTCCTCTCTCTCCTCTCTATTTTCTAGAAAGAAAATATGGTATCAGAGCCTAACTCTGGGCGATAGGAATCTCTTTTCTCCTCTGAATCACATTCCTTCCACCCAGTTCTCTGACTCTTGGACAGTGAAGGCAGAAACCCTAATTGGACTGATTAGAACAATAAACTGTTGCTGTTTTTTCTGGGTTCTTCCTTGGTCATAGCACCATGGTAACCCTAGTAGGAGGGGGCTGATGCTGTGAAGGCTCTCTTTCTTTTGGCTCATGCTGTGAAGACTCAGTCTTGGAACTGCACCTTCGTACAGGTGCTGTACAGGGATGTGTGATTCCCTTTTTTGGTCACAGGTATGTGCTGTGATTGGTTGATGTGTGTTGTGCATAGATCAATGATAACAGGTCTAATTTTTTGGACTATTCCTGGACGGTTTGAGTGCTGCTAGAGGATTTCAGCAGTGTAGTTTTTTATTTCTGGACTGTTTTTTGAACTGTTTGATTGAAGTCCAATTTCCTGGATGGTTTGAACTGTTCTTGGATGGTTTGATTATTGCTAGAGGATTTCAGCAGTGTTTTTTGAACTGTTTAGTGGCTGCCATTAGATTGCAGCCGTGGGTTCTTTGTTTCAAAAGCAGATTTCTAAGTGTTTAGTGTCCTAATTATAACTGTGAGAGTTAGTAGTTGAGTGGGGATTAGTCTTGTGCACCTGTGGTGTGGTTTAAGTTTTGTCTTGTAGCCTTTGTTTCTGTCAATGGCAAATGATGATTCTGCCTCATCTGGGGTTATATCAACCTGTAGTACAGCTGGTATGGGAGCTGAAAATATGATATTTCCATTGCCAATTATTCCTTTGAATGGCCTGAACTACTTGGAGTGGGACAGTTGAACTACCCAGGGAAAAAACTAGGTACACAAATGGAAGAGAGAAAGAACCCAATAATGGGACAATTGAACATGATAGGTGGGACCAAGAGAACAGTATGGTGATATCCTGGCTTCTGGCAGCCATGGAGCCTGATGTGAAGAAGAACTTTATGTGGGCAGACACCACTAGTGAAATATGGGAACATGCCAAAACCACCTATTCTGAGCAGAGGCACTATGCTAAGATTTACCAATTACAAGCTGGATCCTCAACCTGTAAACAGGGGAACCGTAGTTTGTCAGTCTATTATCAGCCCTTATTTCAGTATGGAAGGAGTTGCATTATGCTAAGATTTATCAATTACAAGCTATAGAATGGAAACATGATGGCGATGCTAAAGCCTATAAGAAGTTGGTTTATCAGTAGCGGATTTTTTCTTTCTTGTTGGGACTAAATTCCATATATGAACCTCTTAGAGTTCAGACTTAAGGGAGTAAAGAGTTGCCTTCAGTTCAAGAAGTTTATGCCCTAGTTCAATTTGAGGAAAGTAGGAGTGTGATGGTTACAATTGATGGGGAGCAACAGGTGGCATTAGCTGCAATGGGTGGTAACAATATGGGAAAGAAAAATGACTCCAAGAAAGTTGATGATAAGGACAAGATGTTTTGTAGCCACTACTGACGTTCAAGACATACACGAGACACATGTTGGGAGCTCCATGGGAGGCCAAAGTGGGCTGTAAAGCACCAAGAATAGGGTAAGGTGCAGGGTCAGAAGAAGCCTAATGCAGCACATAATGTGGCAAATGTGGTAACCCAAGATACTCAGTTTGGTGAGTGTTGACTAGTACTGCTTAGGAGTACTTCACTGGTTCTGACCCCAAGGAAGATATCATGAATTCCTTCCAAAATCACTTGGAATCATATGGTAGGGCCTTGCACCAGATGAACAGGTTAGTCATTGGTACCCCTTCTACTTCATTTGCGTCTACTTCAAGTAATGCAGCCTCTGCCCTCTATGTATCCACTGCCCTTGATTCCCCCTACATCATTGACTTATGGGCCTTCAACCACATGACCGTAAGCCAGACCTTTTTGTCTTATAACCTTTTGTTAGGAAGGGATAAGGTGAGACTTGCAGATGGATCATTCTCTTCCATTGCAGGCCAAAGATCAATACCCCTTCCTCATGGACTTAACTTGAATAATGTTTTGCATGTTCCTCAACTTCCCATCAATCTACTTTACATTAGTAGTATCACAAACTCTTTAAACTGCAGTGTAACCTTTTTTCCTGGTTCATGTGTTTTTTAGGATCTAAATTCTGGGAGGATGATTGGTAGAGGAAGCTTAGTGGATGGTCTCTACACTTTCAACAACAAGGCTGGTTCATCAGTGTCATCTTTAGAGTCGCATAGTCAGTCAAATAAGAGTAAAATTTTTTTGTGGCATAATCAGTTAGGTCATGTGTCTTTTGAAATAATGAAATCTTTGTTTCCTAATTTATTTAAGTCATGTTCAGTGTTAGATTTCCAATGTCAAACATGTCAGTTGAGCAACCAATGTAGAACAACATTTCATTCAAGTAATAAAAGATTAAGTTTCCCTTTCCATATTGTGTATTCTGATGTGTGGGGGCCTACTACTATAACTTCAGAGGGCGGGTATAAGTACTTTATCACATTGATTGATGATTTCTCCTGTTATACATGGGTATTTCCCATGCGTAGTAGAGACGAACTTCCAAAGGTTGTGTAGGATTTCCAAAGGATGGTGTTTACACAATTTCATTTTGAAATTCAAAATTTTCAATCAGATAATGCAAAGGAGTATTTCCATGATGCAAAGGAGTATTTCCATGGTGAGCTCAATGAGTTCTTTGCTTCACATGGATCCATCCATAGGAGCTCATGTGCAACAACACACCAAAATGGTGTTGCAGAGAGAAAGAACAAACACCTCATTGAGGTTGCACAAGGGATGATGTTACACATGAATGTACCAAAACGTTTTTGGATAGATTTTGTATTGACTGTTGCTTATGTCATCAATCGCATGCCTTCTAGAGTGCTGAACTACAAGGCCCCTCACCAAATGTTGTTCCCCCAATCTCCTTTGTTTTCTGAAGGAATAGTTAGTAAGCCACGAGTGTGAGGTTCCATACCCACACTTAGGCTCTAGTTTATGTGGTTCCATACCCGCACCAAGTTATTTTTTAATTCCTTTTAAGTTGGGCCAGCTGGCCTTATCCATGTTATGTTTATCTTTATCCATATTATGTTTTTGTTTTATTAGGACTAGGATTTTATGTTTATCTCCTATTCTTGTAAGGAACCAAAGCTATATATAATGAAGTGTATAAGGCGGCATATATCATCAACCGAACCCCTTTCTTCTCCCCTCTTCTCTTCTCTTTGTTCTTCTCTTCAAATCTAGTTATTTTCTTCTTTCTTCTAAGACAGAAATACACTAGCTTTCTTCAAGTTGGTATCAGAGCTATTGGTGAGGAAAACTAGGGCTCTCATGTAAGCCTGATCTGATCGGCTACATGAAAATCCATTAGATCAAGATCTCTGCAACAGCCGCCTGGTTCTTGGAGGTTACTGGAGTACTGAAGACTGCCCAAGAAGGTAAAAAGGTTCTTGGAGAATGATCCGGTGACCAGGAAGAATCAGAGAACAGTTTCGATCAAGATAGGGTTTCAAACCAAGAGGAGGATCAGAATTCTGAGAAAGAGTTCAGATTCGATCAAGGTTAAGGTTTCAAACCAAAGAAGTCGATCAGAGTTTGTTGCTAAGAAAGGTACAACCTTTTAAGGTAACTCAATAAAAGCAACCCTAGCAGCCACACCAGCAGCAGGCCCAACAACAGTCCAATCACAGCCACTCCATCAATAATCCCAACAGCAAAGTCCACTTCGGCGCCCGGCGATGTCTGAACTACCGGCACCCAGGGGCAACCAGCCTTACGACAATCAGCAACCCCCTTCGTCCAACCGCCAGAATCAATAAGGCTTGCCTCAATCTCGAATACGCAACCAGATCCACATTTGAAATGGAGAAGACATTGCACTGGACGAACAAGGACTAGAGGAGAGTCAGGCGGAGGCCCCTGCTGAATTTAACAGGGCAAGCTCCGCCGAGCTTACCAGAAGAAAGAAAAAGCACCGTGCAGGAAGTAAGATGCGGCTTGCCCGAGCAGGGGGCAAAGCACAACCAAGAGAAGGCAGCACGACAACAGAGAGAATAATCTCCTTATCTGATCAACTTGGTCTAACTAGGGAAACCCCGCTTGCACCGGAAATCCTTAGAGCTCCACGACCTAAAAACTCTAGGGCACCTACCCTGGAATCTTACCGAGGGAAGTCGGATCAAGTAGAGCATGTTAATAGCTTTCAAGCCTTGATGCTCCTTCACGGAGCTAATGATGCTAGTATGTGCATAGCGTTCCCTACCACTTTGAAAGAAGAAGCTTGGTTATGGTATTTGGGATTGGCTCCAGGATCCATAAAGAATTGGGACCAGTTCGCCCGACTCTTCATCACAAGCACGCCACATTCTAAATCAGCTACATGCCTCTTCAACATAGTTCAGAAGTCCAATGAACCACTTGGGGAATACATTCGGTGCTTCAACATGGAAAAGTTGCAGATCCCCGATGTGGATCCCTCTATATAGTTGATAGCGGCCAAAAAAGGAGTTAGGCACAAAAAATTGAAATGGGAGCTAGAACTCCACCCTCCAGCTACCATGGAAAATTTCCTCACCATCGCCCACAAATACATTAGGGCAAAAGAAGCAATAGGTGGGGAGACTGAG